TTGTTCCCCCCTGAGTTGGATTTCTACTTGCCCCAAATGACTCCATTCAGGGCTACCTAACTAAGCCTTCCTCAGACATGGCATTTGCAGTGTTGGAGACCCTTGGTGGCTCTGTAGGGCCTCCAGGGTTCAGCAGCCTACCAGTTTGACTTTGTTTCCCAACCCATACCTCCTAGTTCTCCTGCCCATAAGGACTCTTCTCTGGGACCTTGCAGATACCCCTTTGCTTACTCTGGGGGATGTCTGTTGTTCAGCCCAGTATGTCTAACCCAGGCAGGAAGCTCGAACGTCTCATCCCTAGAACACTCCTGGAAAAAACTCTCCTCTGGTCCTTCAGGGTAACAGATATCTGTGGCTGGCTTGACTTCACAAATAGACTGCATACCTCCTAAAGGTGAAATTTGAACTTTCTCCCTGCTGATTCTCTGGGGCCTAGGATGGTGCCCTACCACCAGGATAAGTGTTTCCTCTTTCTAGCCCCCACCCTTTTCTCACCCACTCCCACATACACTCTTACATACACCTTTTTCACATGGCCGGAAAGGTGGTCACTGAAATCCTGGAGTCCAAAATAAAGAGAGACTGCCCCTCTTCCACAAGTATCTGCATCCATAAACAAATCTCATGTCAGATGCTTAAGGGTGCTATTTACCTGTGTGCCTGTCCCTTAACAGATTACCTCCAGGGCTGAACTATTCTGAACATCCAGTTTAGGCCACTCCCTGTCTCTGTTGGGAAGAAAGGTGGAGACACTGAGTGTTAACCTGTGAAGGCCACATGGTCTGGGAGTGAGGAAGGTCCCCAAAGGAAGAGGTGCTGGACCCACTGGCACCAGGTAACCACTACGAAGGTACAAAGGTTCAGGGTAAAAAAGACCAATATTGATCTCTTAATGAGATCCCCTTACAGACATGACTTATGCTTGAATCCTTCAGTGATGTGAAGCTCCTCCTTCATAAGGCTGCCAAGGCCATGGTGGGACAATTTGGATTAAGAAGCCCTTCTCCATGTTTAACTAATGTCTGCCTCCCGTAACTTTAATTCATTTTGCTTTTCCTACTGTATTATCAGAGTTCTCCCGAGACAGAATCAAGATAGATAGATAGATCAGAGGAAATTTATTAAGGGAATTGGCTCATGCAATTGCGAAGGCTGAGAAATCCCATGACAGTCCTTCTGAAAGCCACAGACCCAGGGATGCCTGCAGTGTGGCTCATTCCAAATCCTAAGGCTTCAGTAACAGGGATGTTGATAGCATCATCGCTTGCAGTCGTAGCTCAGAACCCTGAGGGTTGTTGGTGTTAAGTCCCATAGTCCAAAGGCCAAAGAGCCTGGAGCTCTGATGTCCAAGGGCAGAAGAAAAAAATGTCCCAGCTTCAGGAAGTGGGGGTTATGGGAGAGAAAAAGAGAGGGAGGGAGGGGGAATGCAACCACTCCATTTGAATGATACCTATCCTCATGGAGGGTGAACATTCTGCACTCAGTCCTCTGACTCACAGACCAGTTTCACTGACACATTCAGAAATAATGCTTTGCTAGTTCTCTAGGTATTCCTCAGTCCAAATAGACACCTAAACTTAACTATCATACCTACCAATAACAAGGCAAAAAGAAGTTTTTTTCTTCCAATATGTTATTCAATCTCAGAGATTTCAAATGCTTCGTATCTCTAAGGAGGTGAGACATTTCCATCTTCTAGTCTGCAGAAAACATAGCTCTGGCCCAGAGAAGTGATGTCACTTGGTTAAATCAGTCCCACGGGGATTTCTGTGCCCCAGAGCCAAACTCCACTCACTCCCTGTCCACCCTGCCTCTGACTCTGCTGTCACCCAGTGTCTGCCTGATTGTAGGACACACTCAGGAGGTGTTTGTTGAATGAATGAATGAATGAATGGTGCTCTCTCTACGCAGCTTATTTGGATGCCTTTCAAGCATAAAGGCCAAGGGACTACCATTAATATTCAGGTGCTACCATTAATACTCATATTGTCTCTGAATGATAAAAAAAATAATGTGTATCAATTAGAGTTTCCAGTTTCAAACAATAGAAACAAACTCTGGCTGATTTAATGAAGAAGAAACTAATTACATAAAGTAGGGAAATCTTTAGGGCCAAAATGAAGACCAGCAAAGCAGTAGAGGCCACAACCCAGGCTCATCAATGCAGTCACACTTGGACCTGGCCTGCTGAGGACAGTCTGTCCCCTCAAGATGCTACTGGCTGTTCTGCTGGGTTGTGGGTACCGCTGCTGCAGGCTGCCTGCTTGCCCTGTGGTGGCGGGAACTCCATGGACTGTGTCTGCTCTCCTCCCTCAACTCCTCAGTGGATGGTGGGGGGCATAGATTTTGACTGGCTAAACCTGAATCACATCCCCACACCACCACTGGAAAAATAATCTGATTATCACCAAGTGAAGAATTTTCCAAACCTAAGGAGTTCAGGTTTAGGGCAGCCCCAAACCTGACATCTAGCTAACCCATCCTGTTCCCTCTGAGCTTTCTTTTCTCTGGATGGACGCTCTCTGTTTCTCTATCCTAACTTCATGGATGAGGTCTCCAGATCCCCTACCATTCTGTCATTAATTTTTGGTACCTGGAATTAGACGCAGTCTTGCAAATGAAGTCTGACAAGCCCAAGGTACAATGGGATTATTTCTTTCCATATCCCAACCCCTTAACTTCCATTAGAGCATCTTAGGATTTCATTACTTTTCTAGGCAGTCATACTACATTGATGACTCATATTGGCTCATATTATGCTTGTGGTCGACTGAATTCCCCAGATCTTTTCATATAAATGGCGGTTAAGCCAGGTCTTCCATCATTTACTTATATAATTGGCTTATTGAACATGTGCAAATTTAACTGAGAAACATAAAACTGTATTTGTAATACTTCAACTATTTAGTTCACACCCTTAAGTTCTCTTACACTGTAGTATAGTATGCTTGGTTACTTCAGCCAGAAGTTGCAAACTGATGGTTTTTGGCCCAATTTGCCTGCACATTTATTTTATTTGGCTATTAGGGTGTGTTTTAGAGAACTGAATTGGTTGCCAATGGTTGAACATCAGGAGATCTCACATAAAAAGCAGAACCCCCAACTCTCTTGGAAGGTAGGAAGATGTGGCAATACTTGGTCACAGGACAGGGAGTGATTGGCTGGTGCTGAGTAGCAATCTTCCTTTTAGAAGGAGCAGAGAGCTCATGCCCTGATGCCTTCGCCTAGCTGTTTCATTAATTCACATGCCCTGCCTAGTCTCTGTGTATGTTTGGTTTTGCAGCCTCTGTGCTATGGCAGGGGCTAAAGTGGAAGCATACCAGTCTGGGCAAAGTGGAACTCAGCAGCTGTTGCTTGGTCTTGGTTGTGCATAATAACAAGGGACATTGAAGGCAGAGATCTATCCTGGGCTGCTGGCATAGGCATCTGTTCTGTCTCTCTACCATGCCACTTGTTTTTCTGCCAACTCTGACTTCTTTTCTGTTTTACTGTTGAAGGTGCTGCCAGGTTTTACATGATACTCCTCCTATGGCCAATGCTCACAGATCCAGAAAGTGACCACTGGTCCAAGTTAGGTGATAGGATTTTAAAACTTCTAGCCCATGACAGCATCTGATAAGCCTGTCAGTTGGATGTTCCTGGAGCTTGGTCCATGTTTTCTGGCATGTGGGTTAGAAGTGGAGATAGCTGGTGCCATAGTCTGAAAGAATGAGTCATCATTTTAAGAGAGGAAGAACAGGAACTCAATCTACACTCATCTGGCTCAGTTCTTAGCTCGGGGTCCTGTAAGATGTCTCTTATTGTAATAGCCAGGGTGTGTCATTGGGAGCAACCTCTGATCTCTGCAACCTCTCCCTGTGCCTGAAGGGTTCCCTGTCATGTTCTCCCTTGTCCTGTGTCCTTGTCAGCAGCTCTTGGATCAAGCATTCTGGGTCCCCTCACAAATTCCTCTTGACTGTTCCCAAGCAAGGGCCCAAGAGTGGCTCAGGTGGGTGCTTCTGTGCACCCAGCAGAGCATTTCCTTTCCTCATGGGATCCAGGCAGCTCAAGGATAACTTCCATCTCATGCTGCTGCCAGCGCTGATGTGAATAATGTATGTGGAAATCCACACTACTGAGAGACTTCTAGGTTGGGAAAGCCATCTGCTGCCATCAGGAGCCAAATTTTCAGGGTATCACAAACTGATAGAATACAGGATATCAGGAATGGAGGTGCTAAGATATATATTCAAGTCACAACTAGGTGATGAGACCGAGATATTCTTTCAGTCACCCCACAAATATTTATTGAGCACCTACCATGTGCAAGACACTGCCCCAGACACTGAAGATATTACAGTGCAAAAGAAATACCTTCAAGACAGCTTCTATTCTTATGGCATATGGTCTTCATATAAAGATAAAATCTAGCCCTAAGGAGTCTTTTTTTCCGAAATGCTTCTGCAGGCTTTTTTCTTTTTCTTTTTTTTTAAGTTGTGGATGACACAATACCTTTATTTTATTTATTTATTTTTATGCTGAGGAAAGAACCCGGTGCCTCACATGTGCAAGGCAGGTACTCTATCTACCAACTGAGCTACCACCCCAGCCCCCAAAGTCTTAACAGTACATCTCACCTTGCCTCATTTGTAAAATGAAGTTAAAATAATTACCTCACAGGACTGTTTAGAGGATTCAATAAAATAATGCATAGGCACATTCTTGGCATTTAAGCACCAGAAAATATTACTTTCTCCATGAAAAATCAGAAAAGTCACACTGAACTCAAACCACAGGACAGCCCACTGCCAATTCGTAGGCGTGCCCACTTCTGATGTAGCACAGGCAAAAACTGGCTTGGTTTGTGTCGGGTCAGAGATGGGTACCCGGGAGCGTTGGGAACACAAAGTGGCCACGAGGGGGCAGCGCACGGCAGGGAATCTTCGCCACCGACCCCAGCCCACAGCCAAACTTCCCTGCTGCTCCCGATCCTCCCGTACGTACTTCCGTTGCTCTGACGCTCCCAGAAACCGGGGCGTCGGGAAGGAAAGCGCGAATTCCCCCTCCTCTGCGCCTTGGGAGGAAATATTGGACTCGGTTCACCAGATCGAGCCGCAGCGGGCGCTAGAGCCCTTGGAGCTGCGCCGCCGAGGCGCGGAGCCGGTTGCCCGGCAAGAGGGTGCTGGTGCGGGGGTAAGAGGCGTTAGCCTCTCCCCGGCCACCGGGAGAGGACAGGCTGCTGCTGAGAAGGGTCGGCACGGTCCCGGGGCGTTCTCGCCAAACCCGAGCGCCTTCCCCTCCTGCCTCACGGGGCATCCCCACCCACACCCGCAGCTGTCACTTCTGTTGGCCGCCTGGAAAGGGAACAGGACCCGGAGCGCTCCCTGCAGTCGTCGGGGAGGATGCCTGCCTGGGCGTCGGCTGTGTCCTCAAGCCGTTCGCCAGCGCTGGCGAAGAAAGCAGTCGGGGTAACGCCGCCCAAACTTTCCTTCGCAGCAGCGCTGGGAGGAAACGTCCCCCTCTGAGCCTTGCGGAGAACTCAAAGACTACTCAGCCCTACGGAAGGGACAGGGCCGTGCCCGCTTAGGAGTTGTTCCCGGGAACCCCGGAGGTGCCCTCAGGGGCAGGGCCAGTCGCCGGCGTGCGCCGAGTCCAAAGGAAGTCTAGCGGGCTCAGCGCCTCTTGCCCAGTGCCCCGCAGTGACCGTGACCTCCGCGCGCCCCCCCGCACACGTGCTCGTGGCCCAGGGAGAGGAACGCTCCAGCCGAACCCGCTAGAGGCAGCGACTCGCAAGCAGGCCAGGGGCGCATGGAGGCGCCGCGGGGGCGGTGCGGCTCGCCAGCAGCGCGGGGGAGCGCGCACGCCGCGCCCCGGCCTCCCCGGGGACCCGGCCGGCCGCTCCCCGCACTTCCTGCCGCGGGGCTCTCGGCCTCAAGCAGCCGTTTGGAGCGCAGAGCTGGCTGAGCGTCGTGTCCGGCAGCATCCGCGGTTCCCGGCGCTGGGCAGACGTGTGGCGGGACAGGTGTAGCCGGCAGCGGCGGGCGTCGCGCTCAGAAGGACTGAGCGGACTCGGCTGGCTGGAGTTGGCTAGCTGCTCACGGAACTCCGGTCCCCGCCGCGCAGGCCCGTCGGCGCGTCACTTTGCACCGCGGCGGCGGCGAGAGCCTCGGGGGAAGGAAGTCGCGGCGAAACCCGGCTCTCTGGCAGCGGCCGCCTGGGCGCGGTCCTGATGCTCGCTGCCCGCTGCGGGACCTACTCCGGCCCCCGGACTTAGGTAGCTGCGCGTGGCCGGCGCCGGCGCCTCCCCCATGCTGCTCGGAGCGTCCTGGCTGTGCGCGTCCAAGGCGGCCGCCGCTGCTGCGCAAAGCGAGGGCGACGAGGACAGGCCCGGAGAGCGGCGGCGGCGGCGGGTGGCGGCCTCAGGGACGGGAGAGGACATGGACGAGTCGTCGCTGCTGGACCTACTGGAGTGCTCCGTATGCCTGGAGCGTCTAGACACCACGGCCAAGGTGCTGCCATGCCAGCACACCTTTTGCCGCCGCTGCCTGGAGAGCATCGTGTGCTCGCGCCACGAGCTTCGCTGCCCGGAGTGTCGCATCCTGGTGGGCTGCGGCGTGGACGAGCTGCCCGCCAACATCCTGCTGGTGCGCCTGCTGGACGGCATCCGCCAGCGGCCCCGTGCGGGCGCCAGTCCTGGCGGGAGCCCGCCTGCGCGCCCTGGCTCCAGTGCGTCCACCGCACTCGCTGGCGGCGGGGGCGGCGCGGTGGGCAGCGCCCCGGGCTCCCCTGTCTTCCTCTCCGCGGCGGCGGGCAACGCCACCGCCAGCCTGTGCGACCTGGCTACTAACAGGGGCGCTCCAGTGGCAAAGGTGGGTATCTGCCCCACGGCTTGGCGCTTGGTGTGTGGGAGCGCGAGTGTTGGTGGGCACGTGGGCGTAAGGGTAGTGATGAGAGGCAGAGGAGACCAGACGTGACCCTGCGTTGGCCCACTCTTCTGTTTTGCTCTTCTTTCTCTAACTTTGCCTCCCTCCAGCCACTCTGGGCATGTTCTCTTAGTTCTCACTTGCTAATTCTTGGGTACATTCCTGAGCACCCTGTTCCCCTAAACTTCTTGACACCTACTGTGGGTCCCCCTGCACCCACCTGTTCATATGTGAGTCAGCACCCCATCCTCCGTTCCGGTGGATGTGCCTTTGGGCTTGCTGCTTGCTCATCCTGACTGCCTCCCCATTCAGGCCCTGCCTTTAACTGCATTCTGGTCCCATCTCCCCAGAAGCCGTGATCTTCTCCTGGACCCTCAGGCTCTCTCCTCCCTCAGACCTCCTGGAGGAAAGTTCGTGCTTATTTTTCCCCTAGTCTGATCGCTTCAGGAAGTCAGTGGCCTCCTGCCTGTGAGGCTGGCTAGGGAGCTAAAAGAGGGATGTGGTGTCTGAAGAATGCGGACTGCAAACTTTTCCTTTAGCAGGAGGGAAGGAGTTAAACTGGAGCCCCCAGGAGGGTTTTGGCCCAGAGTTGTTGTTGTTTTTTTTTGGACTTGACTTGGCAGCCTCCGTCACTAAGCCATGGACTCTTAAGTAGGGTTACATTCCCATGTGGGCCGTTATTTTCGATTTTTATTATTGGTTTCATTTTGTGTGCGCATAGATTGTACAGTCTCCACTGCTTCCGTTTTACTTGAAAAGAAAGATTTTCCCTGGAGAGCTTCAGTGATTTGGTTTCAAAAGGTTCTTCTTCCATGTTGTTACATACCCTCTGCCACTTCTCTATATATGATATATATAGTGTGTGTGTGTGTGGGGGGTGGCAGCCCACCCATGCTGGTTTGAGTGACACACAAAGTACCTGCGTGTTTTAATATCTCTCAATGAAGAAAACACATTTTAATGTTAAAAAATATTATGTAGATATGTTGGAATTGTCATTTGTTTTAGAAAACAACCGTATTCCTCTACTTTTGACCATTTAAGGAGTTGGTGGTGGTGCATAATTCTTCCAGTGCCTACAATCTTGAATTGCTGGGAAAATGCTAGCATCTGAATTACTCAGCACTTCAACATGGCTAACAAGAACTTAAACCCTTGGATGTTGAGATTGAGGTAAATGCCATACATTGCTGAATTGCTTTTTTTCCCTAAGGATATGGAAGAATGAACAATCAAGGACAGTCAAGGAATGTTCCTACTTGAGGTCATTGCTAAGGGGTATTTTTGTCCTTTGGTTTTAATTGTGATTAAGTCCAGCTACATGCTCCAGTTAGATTTGCAAACTTTTCTTTCCTATCCTTGCTGTTTTTAATTTAAGGTATTATAATTAAAGATTTTTATTTGCAAAATAAGCAGGTTACCTCCTCCTGTTTGAATAATTATGTGATTTTTTGGAACTATGTCTCTAGTAAGACCCTGGGACATTTTGGCAATGGTGTATTTATGATGCCCTCCTAGTTTATGTTGGGGGAATCGTGTTTGACCAGGAGGTTCAGAGATAACCTCTGAAACTCAAAAGACACAGCCTTGGGGTGGCTCCTGGAACTCTTTGCCGGTTATGGCATTCTTTAGAATTTGTCAGAGGGCTGGAAGGTTGTAACTTTGAGTAATGATGCTTAATAACAGGGAATTGATGTTTAGTTGACTAGATTTTGATTTTGTAGGGGCGCACAGACTGTGACTTGCCATGTTTTAGGGAACTTCTAGAAAGCATTTTCTTTATGGGTACTGTGTCAACTAAGTGTAGCCTTCTGCTGTTTCTTCACTGGTCCACCTCAAAGGGATTAAGTTCAGGTTCTGGGAAAAGCCTGAATTAAATCCAAAGTCATATTTGGTTGTTTACAGAGAAGAAAATATCGTGGAAGCAGGGATTATAAGATTATAATACTATAAAGCTTTTCATCTGCTGATTTTTCCACCTGTGCCCCTCCACCTTTTATTTATTTATTTTTTTTTTTTGGTAGCACTGGGATTGAACCCACGGCCTTGAAAATCCTAGACAAGGGCTCCATCACTGAGGCACAATCTCCAACAGACTCACTGCTTTTTTTTTTTTTTTTTTTTTTTGGCAGTGCTGGGGATTGAACCCAGGGCCTTGTGCATGTGAGGCAAGTAGTCTACCAACTGAGCTATATCCCCAGCCCATATCCACTGCTTTTTTAAAAAATATATATTTTTTTAGCTGTAGATGGACACAATATCTTTATTTTTATTTATTTATTTTTATGTGGTGTTGAGGATCAAACCCAGTGCCTCACGCATTGGAGGCAAGTGCTCTACCACTGAGTTACAACCCCAGCCCCCCACTGCTTTTTAACAGTCACTGGGAATCCTTCTGGTTAATCAGAAGTTCTGCATATTAAACTACTGTTACCAGTCTGGGGTAACAGCATTAGGTCTGGGTGCATCCTCTCAGGGAACAGAGAATGGATAGGGAAGGCAAAAGGGACTGAGATAAGAGTGTTACGCATTAAGCCACCCATGAATTTGGCAGGTGAAGACTTCTGTTAAACATTACTTCCAGATAGACTGTTGGTGCTTTACTATCTATTGGAATGATACTGCTGTCTCCAAGCAAAGCTGAATGCTGTATGTTGCTGCAGGTTGCTTAATAGGTGGGCACTCATTTTCATCATTCAGCAGATACCAAATATGACTCACCATAGGTAACCATCAATAGGACAGTCCCCTATTTTCACATCTAGAAACTCCTCAAACCTTATTTTGGGCCAACGGGGATATATAAACTTTAAAAATATGTAGATAGACAAATATCTACTTAGCTTATTTATTGAGTTATATATTGGAATGGAATCAGACAAAAATGTATTCATTTATATTTGGTTTCACTTTTGTCCAGATTCTTCATTTGCATCTTTTCATCGGGGTTTTTATGCACACCAGCATACTTGGAGTCCCCTACCCTGGTTAGCAGACCGTGTCAGCTCAGCTTTCACCGGAACCATTTGAGATGAGACCTTTTATTGGAATCAATTAATGATGCTGCCCCTAGAAGTACCCATCACACTTACAAATTCCTAGAGCCCAAACCTGGGATTGTTGGTCTCTTTATTTTTTGGTACAGAGAATTTAACCCAGGAGTGCTTAACCACTGAGCCACATTCACAGCCCTTTTTATCTTTTACATTGATACAGGGTCTCACTAAGTTGCTTTGGGTCTTGTTAAGTTGATGAAGCTGGTTTAGAACTTGTGATCTTCCTGCGTCAGCCTCCTGAATCACTGGGATTATAGGTGTGCACCATTGGGCAGTTGTGTGTGGCTTCTTAAGGTGATATTTAAAAGTCCTATTTTTTAGTTTTAGGTGGACACAATATCTTTATTTTATTTTTATGTGGTGCTGAAGATCCAACCCATTGGTGCCTCACACTTGCCAGGTGAGCACGCTACCACTTGAGCCACATCCTGAGCCCTAAAAGTCCTTTTTTAATGGTCAACTATAGCAGTTTCATATGAGTGCTAAATTTCCCAGCCTATCTTGTTTGTTGACTGTTTTTACATTTTTCAAGAGAGCTGATTTCATACCCTACACTAACACTGAGTAAATTGTTTCAGGGCAGTAGGCTTTGCTAAAAGGGTATTGTTGGGGCTGGGGATATAGCTAGTGATAGAGCACTCACCTACCTTGTTTGAGGGCCCGCGTTCTATACCCAACGCTACAAAAAACCAAAGGAGAGGCTGCCAAAAGGGTTTTGTGGTTCTACATTGAGTAAATCAAAGATTACTTTTTAATATGAGATGTTTAAAAAGGACTTAAATATAAAACAGTTTCAGTGTTTTTCTGAATGGTTTTTATTTTGTTTATTTTAAAATATTCCTTGCCTTTTATTTAGGCCCGTGTAGAACTCATTGAGTACCTACGTTGTGCCAGGTACTACTCTTGGGCTCTCTTGGAGATTATAAGGGGATAAGGGAGGGAAGCTATTTGCTCTTGGCTCTCAGGAGACACTTGATGGCACCACGGCTGGTGTTAGCCCAGAACTTTGTGAGGTTTAAGAGGGAGGACATTTTCACAAATTAAAGGACTATAGAAAGTGTGGGCAGTGCCTTTGATGACATAAAAGTAAGCTTTAGAACCTAATTAGTTTGTGTTGTGTTTGTGTGTTTGTGTGTGTGTGTGTGTGTTTACTTTGTGGATCAAATCCACAGGCCTATGAGCCACACCCCCAGTCCTATTTATATCCTGAAGTACAGTAGGATATGTTTAAATTGGACCCATCTGAAAAATCTCTATATCTCTCAGGCAGTGTGACTGGGACCTAGTAATGGGAAATGTAAAATTAACAGAGAATCATAAAAATTATATGCATTAAGAATTTTATTATAGAAATGCACATATATGATTCTTTTATTCTTTTTTTGGATGCAGGGCTGAAGACTTTTCTTTTGAGTTCCAAATTGTCTTTCTGGCTTAAGCCACAGCCATCATTTATGATTTTCTATTTGTTTCTTTCTAGTGGAGTGAGAACTCAAGAGACTTTCAAAGAACTAAGTGGCACATCCTTCTAGAGTTTAAACAGCCCCTCCCCTGCAATGCTTCATGCTCTCTTTCATACCCAATCTGACCATTTTAAAGCACTTTGCCTTTGTTGAGTCTGTTTGAAGCAGTCCTCTTGGTCTTCGAGGGAGCAACATAGTTTTTGCACTCAGCTTCCTTGGTTACATAATATTTAATTAAAATATATTTTTAACATTGTGAGTACAACTTGCATAAACATGGTTGTGAATAAAGAGGACAGATTCCTGATAAGGAGAGACCTCCCTGCTTGGCTAGGAGGGGACTGCAGCCTTCCTTGGAGGTGAGTGCCTTGGGCCATCTTGCAGAGGCTGTGACACTTTAGTTAGTCCAGCTTGTCAGATAGCTGGA